CTTATGATTTAGTGAAGCTGCCTAAAGGCAAAGGGGCTTTGGTAAACAAATTGATTTATAGATTTAAACATGAGAGCAACTCTAAGTTTCCAAGATATAAATCCAGATTAGTGGTGAAAGGTTTCCATCAAATAAAGGGTGTTGATTTTAATGATATTTTCTCATCTATTGTAAAGATGTCATCAATTAGAGATGTGTTGAGTTTGGTTGCTACTCTTGATTTAGAGGTTGACCAAATGGATGTGAAAATGATTTTCCTTCATGGTAATTTGGAGGAAGATATCTACATGAAACAACCCGATGGTTTTCAAGTTAAAGGTAAAGAAGATCATATGTGTAGATTGAGAAAGAGTTTATATGGGTTGAAGCAAGCTCCAAGGCAGTGGTACAAGAAGTTTGAGTCTGTTATGTGTGGTCAAGGATACCAGAAAACTACTTCAGATCATTGTGTCTTTGTTAGAAAATTTCTAATGATGACTTCATTATCTTTCTGTTATATGTTGATGATATGCTTATTGTAGGGAAAAGTATTTCTAACATTAACATGTTAAAGAAGCAATTGGGATAGTCATTTTCCATGAAAGACATGAGAGCAACTAAATAGATTTTTGGCATTAGAATCATGCGTGATATAAAAGAGAAGAAACTTTGGATGTCCAAGAAAATTATATCGAAAGAGTACTGCAAAGATTCAAAATGGAAAGCTCTAAGGCGGTAAGCGCTCCTCTCGCTACTCATTTCAAGTTGAGTTCTAATCAAAGTCCTTCAAGTGAAGATGAAGTGTTTGATATGAAATGTGTTCCTTATGCGTCTATTGTGGGTAGTTTGATGTATGCAATGGTGTGTACAAGACCAGATATAACACGTGTTGTTGGTACAGTCAGTAGGTTTTTGTCAAATTCAGGTAGAGGGCATTGGAATGCTGTAAAATGGATTTTAAGGTATCTTTGCGATACTATTTCATGAGGCTTTATTTTGGAGGAGATAAGCCTACTCTGACTTTGATATGGCTAGAGACATTAATTGCAGAAATTCCACTTCGAGCTACATGATTAAATTTGCAGGGGGAGTTATTGCTTGGTAGTCCAGATTGCAAAAGTGTGTAGTACTATCTGCTACAGAGGCTGAGTTCATTGCAATTCCTGAAGCATGCAAAGAGTTACTATGGTTGAAGAAATTTTTTCAGGAGCTTGGTTTTGTTCAAGACAAATACGTGTTATTTGTTGATAGTCAAAGCGCTATTCATCTTGGTAAGAAATCAACTTTTCATAATAGGTCCAAACACATTAATGTGAGATATCATTGGATAAATAATGTTTTGGATGCTAAGTTATTCGAGTTAGCTAAAGTTCTTACAGATGATAATGGTTCTGATATGATGACTAAAGCATTACGAAGAGGAAAATTTGAAGCTTGTTATGATATCGTCGGTTTGGAGATTTCCTCCTCATAGTTGTGAGGGGGAGATTGGTTGAGTTTGAGCTTCCTTTCTATGTGGAGAAAGACCCAAATATGATTAGCCCATTTGTTTCACTTATTTAAACAAAGAGGATCAATTTAGGATTGAGAGAGATAGAGGAAAAACAAGGATTCAAAAGAGAGAGAAAAAAGGAGAGAAACTCATTCCTATTTTTCTGCAATTAGTCTCACTAAATCGACGATCTCTGATTCATTAACCGTTAGATCAAGATGAAATTTGGAGGGTAGGTTTGCAACACGTATATCTAACTTTTGACCATTCATAATTTTAAAAAAATGTCTGAGGTGAAAGTTATTTGCTTTGCACTGAAGTTGTAGATTTGGGAAAAAAATTCAATTTTTTTATTCTTATTTGTAAGCTAGTTTGTTTTGTGATTTGCGGTCGTTAGTATTAGTTTGTGAATCACTTTAAGACTCTCTTGTACCCTTAATTGATTAGTTGAATTATTTCTTTAGTTTGGCCAACTCGTGGTTTTTACTCTCATATTAAGGAGTTTTCCACGTTAAAAATATCAGTGTTCTTTTGTACCTTTATTTGTTCGATTTGCTGTCTTATATTTGTTGTTGATCTTCAAGATTTCTACAAGTTTGGGGAGTTTTATATTCGCTACGTATTGGTCTATTATTGTGTCTTAAATTTCCCATCACTTTGCTCATTGTCTATTGAGTCCTTAACTCTTTCAAAGAATGTTAAGTATGAATTTCAGATGTTTTGAACAATTAAACTAAAAAAGCATTTTGATTAAAAATAACTAAAAAAAGCATAACGTAAAGTAGAACTGAACGATAAAGATAAAAATGCATACAAAATTTGATTGATTGGTTTTTTGAGTTGAAAAAATTTACAAGTTCAAGATTTATAGACAAGCATAATTACTACAGTCCAAAACAATGTGATATGTATATTTTAGCCTTGTTCGACTAATTATCTGGGTAATGCGTGATATTCCTCTAAACTATGGGTACATGACAATCCATATTCGAGTTTCTTTAATCCACGTTCTACCTCTGTGTTAGACACTATTTCAGTTAGTGGCTCTACAAACAAGGAATATGGGTAAAATGCCAAATTTTCAAGTTTCATTTAGCTTTGATTGAATCTAATACTTCCCAAGCCTTTGTGGTCTCAATAGACTTGATAAAGAAAAATAATTCTTATTCAACTACCATTGTATTCGTCTAACCTTTCTTCAATTGCATGGAACTGCATAGGAGAGAGATAAATAGGTAGAGAGAGATATGCTAAAATTGAATGCTTAAAATTACTTTTCATTCAAAATTATTTGATTAAAGTGATTTTTCTCATGAAATTGATTAAAATCTTAATCGGAAATATATATAATAAAAATGTCAATGATCTTAATCTTAATAAATTTGCAAATGGTCCACAAGGGGCAGCGTGAAAGGGGAACGACGTAACGCATCGCCCCAACAACTTCTTGATCGCCCATTTATTATATTGAGCACCCATTATTTGGATGTGATGCCCATTTCTCAGATCAGTCGCATTCCAATAGAAACATGAAGGTGTTGTGTCTCAATCCTCCACAGTGCGAAGAGAGAGTCAATGGAAAGTTGATTACATTCTCTTTAATAATAGGAAATTAACTGTCTCATTTTCACGCTCCATGAAGCAGTCCTTGTTTCCTGAGAGTCTAAGATCCAGACCCATGAATTTTTATAAAAAAATCTCAACCCTAAGATTGAAGGAGATGTCAATTTATTACGCAAATACCACATATAAAGCTTTTCACCTCCATGCGTAAGCTAGCTCTAACCTCACAACAAACTTTAAAAATCTCAGATAACCTTTAATTACTAGGAATTATCACGTATTGTACTTTTAACAAATACAATCTTTAATCACCATAAATTTTTTTAATATTTTTTAATTTATTATTGATTCCTAGCATGAACATGTTTAGCATCTAGCTAGTCCAAAACATGTTTTCTTTTTCCTTCACCTAATTGACACTTTTTTGGTTACATTCACCTAATGTACAATGTGGGCAGTGCCATAAAATTTATTTTAACTTTGATGCTATAGGTTAGTCAGAAGAAATAGAAGTACATTTCCACCATCATGTTGGTTTCCAATAAATATGGGAGTGTGAAAAGTTCTTTACAGAATTTGGGCCACATTTTTGTACTATTGCTGCTAACATTCATATGCTTAACGAATTTCTTCTTAGGTTAGTCACACAAACAAGATGTTCCAATTTGGTTGAACATAGTTAAAGACTGATTTGCTGCATTCTCCATAAATGTTGAATGCTTAGAAATGAAGCCAAAACCCCTTTTAATAACTTTAACTTAGCAATTTAATTACATCACACTTAGTCAAATTTGTCCCTACATTAACTCCCTCACTTACACCATTTTGGTCCCTAAAACTATATATTGGGTGACCACTAATTGAATTGTCTCATAAAAGGACCATGTGTAACCCAAAGACATTCAAAATATCGATACATTTAAATTACATATTTAATTTTAATTGAACGATCATTAGTTTTTCAACTTTACATAAGCAAAATTCAACATTCCCTATATTACTCAATTGGTCAATAACACTATTTGGAAAATAACTTAGAAATCAATTTCCCTATGAACCCGGCACAATTAACAACAGTTAGCTATATGTTACTATCATTACGTCACATAATAAACACCTGGAGTTATCTTTCGTCACACTTTAATCAATAAAGGAGTTTTATTTTATATCTCAGTTACATAGTTAAAAATCAATAAAAAAAAATTTAATCACTTGAATCTGACATTTTATTTTCCAAAAAAATTTAAAATGAAATTTCTGATAGGTATATTAGAATTTTCGAGAGGCATATTAGAATTTATGATATCCATTAAAAATTTAATAGTGTATTTATAATTTCTGAAATTTACGTTAATTTAAAAATATTAATAAAAATTTTAAATGTTCTATTTTATATTGGAATTTCAACTAAAATAAAATTTGCAGTAGTTCATTTTCAATAAAAAAAATTATTTTGAAATTTTTGATAATATATTAAAAATTTCAAAATTTTCGATAATGTTAAATTTTTTATTTAAATTCCAGTGTTCTTAATTTATTTTTTGAAGATTTTGGAATATCTATTAAAAAATGGAAAACTCGAAAATTTCTGATACATATTACAAATTTACAATAAAAACAGATAAGTTTTTTAAAAAATTTAACTTTTACAAAAGTATATAATAGAAAAAGTGCTCTAAATAGAAGTTTCAACTAGCAAATTAAATTAAATGTTCAATTCTTGAACATTTTTTTTTTTAAGTTACAAATATTTATTTTATTTTCATAACAACAACAAAAACCTCATTCCTAACTTGTGAACCAAAAAGTGCATGTTATGTAATGTTAGCCTAATGCAGCAGTTGAACTAAACTGTTCCAATTGAAACCTTCAAACCTAACACACACACACAAAATACAAGTCACAAATCATGTTCCAATCTCATTAATATTTGACAGTATTTGATTTTGAATATCTACAAAAACAAATGGGAACAGAAGACTTTACCTTCCCAAGAATTAATGACACTTTTTCATATATCATTGATTCACCTCCTCTTTGGAACTCATCATCAACATCCTCCTCTTCCAAAAAGGGAGATTCCTATGAAGAAAAATTGGATTCAAAGGGTCAAAGGAAGAGCTTTTCATCATCAATACAAAATGGAAAAAAATCAACAAGAGAATTAGAAGATGAAGAGGTTGTTCCAATGGATTTATTGTGGGAGGTTTTCAATGAAGAGGTTGTTGAGTATTCATCCTTAACAATTGGTAACACAGCAAAAAATGCTCTTGTTCATACTAAGAATAAGCCTGGTATGTTGGAGATGTTGAAGGTTTTGAAGAAACTTTTTTCCATCAACAATTCTCATGGTAAATCAAGAAGAAGAATACTCTAATTTCTAGAATTGTTTTGGTGATTATGCTATTGGATTTTGGGTAAGACTACTTATTCATGTTTTAATTTTCTTCTAAAGAAATTTATCTTGTTAATTAGGTGTTTACAAGTGTTTTTAATCTATGTGAAGCTTAATTAGTGAGTTAATTGAATTTTGCTTCTTCCATTACAATATATATGCACATGTAAAAGTAAATGAAAATTACATAGTTTTTCTTTTAATTCATACAAGTTTAATTAATATATATATATATATATATATATATATATATATATATATATATATATATATATATATATATATATATATATATATATATATATATATATATATATATATATATATATATATATATATATATATATATATACCTTTTTTTAATTAAATAATCCCACTTTTGTTTTGTTCTTAAATCTTTTGGACTTTAATTTATATGATCTTAGCCAAACAATGGAATGAGTTGTTATCCAAACTATCTTGTAGTTGTTGATTTAAAATAATGAGTTTAAATTTAAAGATTTTTCACTTGCTTAAGTTTTGTGAATCTTATCACCCTATCATTTGATAAAAAACAATAGATGTTTGTCTTAAATCCCAATCAAGTTATGTAGGCTCTCTTTATTTTTAAAAAAATAGTTGATGATTGATAAACTATCTTATAGAAAAAAAAATTATATGAGATGATTGATTATAATTGATAGGTGATAAGTTATCTGAATAAATTTGTTGTATTTGATGAGATTAGCAGTTAACTTATAAATATGAAATGATATAAAAAAAATATGTTTAATCAATTTTTAATATTTTTCAATTAACATAATAGAGGTAAGTTTAGAGAGAAATAATAAGTTATAAGGTTTAAATTGTAATTTATTTGAATTAATTTATCAAAAGAAGATATAAGCTCGTAAAAAGCTTTTGAAAAAAAGTAAAGGTTATCAAATATGTGTTTTTAAACATGAGTTTAGTTCAAAAAATGGTCTTGCCAAACATGAGCTATAATGAAATGTTCTTATATGAATTTATTGGGTGGATCAATTAGGAAGAGTGCGTTCTTATATTAACATGTCATGTCACAAATTGTGATAGGTTTGTTGTTTGAAAAAAACAAACCAAACATAGAGAAAAAATGTGAAAATTTTAAAAATTAAAAAAAAAATTATGATCATTATCAAATGACAATAATACACTTGCACTCTCTAAAATAAATATTTAATTACCCCTCACAACACTCTATTTTAACTTATACATCTTAGAATGAAAAACTTGAATCTTAAATATAGCCTTAAACACCCTCTTCCTTTATAAAACTAAGCGATATGAGACTTCAAAGAACTTGTATTTTATATATAACATTGAATTTTCTCTTCATTTACAAAACTAATCGATGCGAGACTTCTTCAACATGTATATTTTCAACCAACCCAAACAATCTCCACCTTGATTGAAAATAATACATAAGTTTTCATTGTCTTCATCGACAATCACACTCCACCATAAAGAGTATAGTCATTTGAAGTTACATCGCTCCAAGAATTTTCACATTGTCTTCATCAACAATCATAGTTTTAAAAAGTATCATACTCCACCTAAAAAAGATTATACTTTACTTGAAGGTAGATCACTTCAAAAATTTTAAAATCAGATAGAATCCAATAAATAATTAATGGCTAATACTATTAAATAAGTTGTTTTTATTATTATTATTATTATTATTATTATTATTATTATTATTATTATTATTATTATTATTATTATAAAAATAATTAAGGGTTAATATCAATTTACTCTCTGCCATATAGGTAGATTTTAATTTATCATATATATATATATATATATATATATATATATATATATATATATATATATATATATATATATATATATATATATATATATATATATATATATATATATATATATATAACTAATTTTGTCATATAAAGATTATGTTGTTTTAAATCCTCTAAAATTGTCTCTTTTTTTTAACTAACCTTGTCTTATAAAGATTTTGCAAAACCACAAATTGAACTTAGGTCCTTGGTTGAAAGGGCGCAACCTACACCACTAGGCCACTAATCTTTTTATTAAATATTTGACAAATTATATATATATATATATATATATATATATATATATATATATATATATATATATATATATATATATATATATATATATATATATATATATATATATATATATATATATCTATCTATCTATCTATCTATCTATCTATCGGTAGTGTTAACATACATGTCATCTATAAGGGTAAAATAATTATTAATACCTCAAGCCAGATGTGTTGGACTTTCAACTAGGGAGCATTGAACATAGTGAGGCTTTTTCTAGAGCAACCTTTGTGAGAGACACACAACATACTCACCCAAAACCTTAAGGTAATAGGTGTATGGGTTCTCTCACTTATAAATGCTCAAGTCACCACATTTCTATCCAATGTGGGACTATTATCCACACTACTCACACTTGTTAATACTTAACACTCTCCCTCAAGTGTGAGCCTATCCACAATGATCTCCATTAAGCGAAAACTTTAACTGTGCAACTGCACCCTTGTACCACCGAGACACTCAACCCACGACCTGTGGGGATACTTTCGATACAATTAAGTTGTTTCCTTTACTCGAACCAAAGACTCTGATACCACTGTTGGACTTTCAACTAGGGAGCGTTGAACATAGTGGGACTTTTTCTAGAGCAACCTTTGTGAGAGACACACCACATACTCACCCAAAATCTTAAGGTAATAGGTGTATGAGTTCTCTCACTTATAAATGCTCAAGTCACCACATTTCTATCAAATGTGGGACTATTATCCACACTACTCACACTTGTTAATACTTAACAAGATGGACCGATCTGACTCTGATACCAACTAATGTAACACCTTAAACTCCAACAAAAAACTCTATAAATATCAATGATGGAATTTTAATACATATAATATCATTTACTCATATGAATTCAACAAAAAACTTTTTAAACATCAACGATGGAATTTTATATATATATATATATATATATATATATATATATATATATATATATATATATATATATATATATATATATATATATATATATATATATATATATATATATATATATATATATATATATATATATATATATATATATAAAATCAGGGATTTGCTCAAATTCTAAATGATTAAAATATTCCAATCGATTACGAAAGAAAAAAGGTAAATAGAATCCCCCATTACCAATAAGCTTAAACAAATCTGTAACAACCTCTACCTTGATTAAATCGGAAAACTTGAGTTTATATCAAACTTTTGCAATTCTCTCTGCTAGGATTTGTCTCATCTTCTTCTCCTTTTTCCCAAAATTGATTGCTCTCTAAATCTCTATGTGCTTATATAGAGAAAAAAAATCTATTTTATTCTATTTATTTTTGTAATACCTTAATTTTTAGCCTTAATATCTCACCTCATTTACATCTTTGCAATGTATTAAGATCACAAATTTGGTTGTCTTCTAACCCTCTCATCTTTGGGTTTTGCCTTTGCAGAGATCATCAAGCACCTCTTTGTGTATCTTTTACATTTTTGTACTTATATGCTTTATAATTCACTAACCACTAATCAAAATACAAAGAAATATGTCTTGTCCCTTTTGTTTCTTTGGCAAGGTAGGGTTTGGAACCAAGAGTATCAAGTGATTACCTCCTCAACTAGGATTGAGTTCTTCAAGTCAAAGTGTGGTTAACCATTGACTTTCAAAAGCTATTCATCAAAGCATGACCTCTAATCTCAAAGTATAGATTCTCAAGCATTATTCAACTCCATTTGATCAAAGATATTTTAAAGTTTGATAACATGTTTCTCAAGGAACTTCAAAGGTTCATGTGTTTATTTTCATGCCTTCATCAACAAGTTTCCTCAATCCATTGCAAGTTTCATCAAAGGACAATTAAGATTATATCATTTTGAGTTTATATAATCATCAATATACCTTGAAATTCAAGAAAAAGTCCAATGTTGCAAGTTTGTTTAAAGAGGTTTGACAAAAAAAAGTCAACATTCTAAGTCCAACTTTCAAATATCATAACTTTTTCATTCTTCAACACTTTTGAGTTCTTATTTGGAAAAATGACTCTTCTTGACATCCTTTACAAGTTTTCTTTACAATTCAAAATCCAATTATTCTTGGAAGATCATGAAAAGTTTGGAAACGTTAGAGGTCACTTTGTGGACTTAGTGAAATTTGACCTAAGTTCAAGTGATATTTGCCTAACTTCTAAAGATCATAACTCTCTCAATTTTCAACTTTCGTGGACGGTTCGTTTTGCCAATTATCATATTTTGTGCCCTCTACAAGTTTGTTTCAAGGATCAAAGACCAATTATGCTTGGAAAGTCATGAAATGTTTGAAGACATTATAGGTCATTTTGGACTTCGAAAATTTTTACTTCTAATCACAGGTCATGGTGCCAATTTTATAAGGACATAACTTTTTGCTCAAGCATCCAAATGAAACCTTTCTTTTTGCATTATACTCTATGTTATAATGTGATCATTTAGTAAAAAGAATGAGAGGAAATGGTCAAGTGTACACAATTTCACAATGGTTTGAACATGGTCACTTGAAATTGAATTTTTCTCATGGAACCGAAAATAGAAGTGCTCAATTCTCCGAATTGAGCCAAGCTTTGCACATGTCTTGTCCATGATGATGTTAAATGATAGTTGCTGAGCAAAAATCGACTTGAATTAGCAAGGTTTTTGCTGCATTTTGGCTAGCTTTGGAGTCAAGTTTTCATCACAAACTTTGCACATGGGATCACACGAATTCTAACTAATTCTCATATGTATTTCATTCATTCACCTAAGCTATAAATAGAGGAAGCTTCTGCATTCAATTTCAAGCTGAGAAAATCCCTAGAACTTCTGCCCCTGCTCACACTTTTCACTTAAATTTTGAAAATTCATTTTCAAATTCTAAGCAATTTCAAATCC